CGGGTGCGGCTTATATGTTAATGTTTGCGGGGGTTTTTTAAGTGGCGGGTGCGGCTTATAGTCCGAAAAATACGGTACTTGCATTTCTTATATTATTACATTTGGCCCGCGGCCCTCAGATTGATTTTAATTTTGGCCCTCTCAGGGATTTTTTTATTTATCATTATTTTGGCCCTCTCAGGGAAAATGTTTGGGCACCCCTGCTTTAAACAGAAATATGTTTCTCATGAACAAATACACCATATTAGATGTATTTTAACAGTCAGGGCACCTTCTACAGGTACAGGTAAACTTTTATCCTCTTTTGAAACTTTGAACTTTGTATCTGCAGATACTTGTCTACCAGAGAGTTTCAGGTGGTTCTCTGACAGTCTTCTTTATGCCCATTTTAAATGGTTTTTCAGCTTCATTATGCTTAAAGTAGCAGTTCTTTGTCGCTGTATGCTTTTCCAGGTAAGTGTCTTGTTCAATTGTTGATGTGAGGACTTTCTCTCCTGTCTTCCTCGCATGTTTTGTTTCTCCTGTACAATCTCGTAGCAGGTGTTGGAGGCACAAAAGAGCGTGGCTGTTCATGCTTGTTCAGGACCACAGCTGGCTGCCACATCGCTTCTCTATGAATCCTGACATGCTCTCCTGCACAAAACTCTGTCAGTTTCTTTGTCTGTCAAAATAAAACTTTTGCTTCTCCTGATATTCTCCCTGGTGTTTCTTTACTTGAGTTGATCCCTCTGGATTAAGCAGAGAGGTGGAGGTAAGCAGTTTTCTTGTGTTTTCTTGCAGCTCTGCTGGCGATAGTTCAACCTTTTCCAAAGGTGTGTCGAAATACTCCAATAGTGAAATGTAGAGGTCACCTTCRTTACCTTCTGAGCTCATCAACAAATATTTTATTATATATTCAGTTCTCTCTGCCTGTTCATTAGCCTTTGCGTGTGTTTGATTGGTCAAATTGGGTTTAATTCCACAATTTTCTGCAGTCTTTGAACTCATCACTGGAGTATTGAGAACCATCATCTACAACATCAGGTTGCCTTGCAAATACTGACTTTATTGCAACACTGACATGAGGACTGTTTTGCTTTGTCTTTTATTTTGGAAACCTCTGGTAACTTGAAAGAGTAATCCAAACTCAGCAGAAACTCAGATCCCATGTGATGATAAGATCAGTTTGTACTTTCTCCAGTGGTCTGGCTGCTACTGGGTTTGGGAAGAATGGCTCCTTCTGGTTGCTTTTAGGGTTCTCATTACACATTGCACACTGACAACCAGAGCCGGCTCTCAGCATAGGCGAACTAGGCGGTCGCCTAGAGCGCCATCTGCTGGAGGGGGCACCAAACAGCAGAAGAAAAAAGTCATTATTTGTAATCCCTGGTTGTATCTCCGCTCAGTGCCCCTTTCAATTACCTTTGTCTTAAAAAACTATAATGAAG